GCTTTAATTTAAAAGTGGGGGGGGGGGGGCACAAACTGACAAATTAGAAGGCCTTGTGTAAGTGACCTTTGCTTAATAATTTTTCACCAAATGCTTTGAATTACCAACATTTGTTACAAGTTTGCTTTAACACTTTACTCCAAGAACTTTTTTTCCTTGTGCTCTATAAAAACAAGGTATTTCTAATGATGGTGATCCATGCTGGTTAGTTTTGAAATCCTAGTCTCACTTATTGCAATGGTATACCTCCGAACTGCGGGGATGAAGAGCTGCAGCTGCGACAGTGAAGTACTGTTGTATACCCTATCCCTTCTCTATTCAGAATAAGCCTTGTATTGTTTTCACACGAGTGGATGAGAGTAAATCTATTCATATACCCATCCTTCATCCCCTTTTATCCATATAGAAATCTATGCATTCTATGAAATGAGATACAAGGTTTTTCGTAAATGGACTAGAGGGCGGGTATACTAGTGGAGTCCTTCAGTTACGCAGCCACAGCTCTTTGTCCTTGGAGTTATGGAAGTATAGCGATGATTGTACATTTCTGCATGAGTGGGAATAGAATTTTGAAACTAACCAGCATTGATCCAGACCTATGATTATCATCATTAGGGTAACTTGTTTGTATATAGCACAAGGCAAAAAAACCCAGAAGCATTTCCTGAAGTTCAGCTTTAAGGCTCAGTTACATCACTGAAGCACAGAGAGATCGAAATGTGACACAACTATACATAGCAGCGTTTTAGAGTTCTTATTTCATTTTAAAGATGAAACCTGAATAGTTGCCATCGAATATGGTTCTATTTTACTGTAGCTCGTTACCAATCAGTTGCAGAAGGATGAATTTATCTGAAAGCCTATCTCAGCCACATAGATTCTTTTTTCGCATATTTAATAGAAACCGCTGGTTGCTGGATTAGTTCTATAGCAGCTGATTGCCCTTTTTTTCGGTCATCTTCTATTGAACTAATGGGCTACATTCTCCAGAATCTATAGGCTAATTCAATGAGGCAGTGCATAGAGCAAGAGTGCTGTGAAACCTACAGTAACGCATAGCAAGCAATGCAATTCCAGTTTGATCAGTTCAGTATACTTTACACATCATAATTGCTTTTTTCACTGCCTTAAAGAATAAGCTTACAAAAATACTGTACAAACTTTGCTTCTTTGACAATACATAGGCTAAAGCCTATGTATTGTCAAAGAAGCAAAGTTTGTACAGTATTTTTATAACAGGGTGTTTGAGACGTGAGCCCACCTACTGTAATGGAACCCCATACTCTGGGCCATATAGTGCTATAAACAAAAGGGCTTGGCAAAGCAATCTCTTTCTTACCAGAGAAGGCCACACAGGCTTGGATGCCACATCCACATGGCTATGTGTACATTCTGTATATATGCAGATTGGTGTGTCCAAAGCTTCTGTTTCTAAGAAGATTGTGGACTTGTCATGGTGATGGCCAAGTCCCATAGCCTCAGTGCCCACCAATCATTTCATCTGTTTAACAATAGGAGCAACTACATCTTCCATTGCAGACATTCCATTTCCAAATTTTAGGGCTGGAGAATTGAAGGTACCCAACACAATCTAGCTATTAACAGATAACTTGAATGACCATTTGTCTTCTGCATTCAGCCACACTTGTTGCAGAGTGATCAGAGCCAAGCTATCACAGGTATGCAAGTAGAGAATAGCTTACAGACAGGAAGAATAGCCCACTAACCCGCCACATGTTAACCCAAAAAAATTCAATGATGGCACAGAACTTGAATTTATGAAAGGCTCGACCTCTATTTACTGAAATTGCATAGATAGACAAGCTAGAACATGATCCTTTTCCCAAAGGGAATGATATACAGAAGTAAACAAATTTGGGGCCAAGAGAAAACATTCTAATCTATACAAACATTTTGCATTTTGTGTACTTGCTAGCCTGGTATAGAACTCTCAGCAAAAGCATTTTGTGAAAGCAGAGGGAAACACAATGTTCCAGCATTGTGCATAAACAGGAAGTACTGTGTCATCAGCACATGCTGTCACTTCAGAATATATGTTTAGATGGCACAGAGCTAATTAAGCGGTGTCCTGCCTACCACTGTTTGTGTAGGGAGAGAAGTGCATCCATTAATTTGAGTCACATCTTTATTGGTACTCACAAAATACAGCCAATGCATTTTAGGGGATTAAGACTCCCCTTTCTTGAGGACTAAAACTCAGAAACTTCTTATCATATGTGGATGTTTACATACAGCTGGGGTGAAATGTAATAGTTGAATTTGTGGTGTTAAAAGAATTGGTAGTGATGTTTGGTTGTGTACTTGAGGCTACTCATTCAGATAAAACAAATAATAATAACATATACATATATACACATACATACACACACAAAATATTTCTATATCAAATTTATAGAAGAATGTATAAAAGAAGTCAATACCATTATCAGTTTATCATAGTGAATTAGATGTATGAGGTGGTGTAAATCTCTAATATTCTGTACTATTTGGGGGAAGGGAAAATTAATTAGATTAAGCTGGTCGTCGAAATGGTGCTCATGCCATATGGTAAGTGGTTGGTAAAGGTTGGGGCTAGCACATAAAAAAATGGGATAGAAGATACAATGGATAGAATGGAGTTAGATGTGATAAAACGTTACTAACCTTTAGACATTGTTTGAACTGTGATCTGTGGTAAAGGAAGAGCCCAAATCACTTGTAATGCATAGGCTGTATTATTTTGTGAATGCCAATAACGATGCGAACCATACCATTGAGCTTGACTCTCTATGCAAGGTGCTCCTCAGCAGTCAAGGACCAGCACAACCATAATGGAAATATGTCCAGCGCTACTACACATGCCAAGAAATCTCTACTGGTTACTACTACTGCAGTCGATAAAAACCACCATTCTACTGCTTTGCCATTTTGATAAAAAATGGAATCGAAAGCTCAGTCACTCTGTCAAATTGCCTCTTTTATGGCCATGTTAAAGAATTTAGGAGAATTTTGTTTGAAAGAATTTGTTTCCAGACAGTTCATTTGATTTTCTAATAGTTAATGGAGATAAAATCCATGAATGATTTCAACCATTGAGATTTAAAAAAATCAAAGGAGAACGATGGAAAATTTTTCTCAAATGAACAAAATTCCAACAGTGAATTTGGCCTTTGTTCGGGGAAACTTCATTCATTCCAAAATGGAATATTACCGGTAATATAAAAACATTTCAAACCACATTCAAGTCTTTAAATGTTCTGATAAGATTTTTCCTATGAACATTTGTATGCAAATCTACTAGTGTATGGCCAGCTTTAGTACTATAGGCAGTGTCGTGTACTTCACTCCTCCACTGCATGGTCAGGAAAGGATTTTTAACCACCTACCAAGGAGAAATACAGACGATTGTATTCAAAAATTGTTTGCTGGATAAAGTGATCCAACTAAGAGACTTATCAGATGGAAGGGTCTTAAAATAGCAGTACACTTGATTTTCCTCCAAATCATTGAGCAGGAACTTTCGGCTGCAAAGCTGTGCACGGGCCCTACATAGAACTGTGAGTTTACCCAAATGGACAGTACTGAATTACGTGTGCTGGTTAGATAGACCATACTAATCATATATGCTGAGGCTGAAATGTTAATATTCTGCATTTTTTTATGGTTTTACAATTTTGAAGTCATCCATCTTGTTGCAATCTCTGTTTCACAGTACCATGGGGTAAGAGGCAGTCACCAGAACAAGGTAGGAACTGTACCCAATTATTAACAAAAACTTTACCTACGAGTGGGATCTATATGTGTGTGGGGCTATATATCATGTAACCTGAGGGAGGGGGTATTGTTCCTCTGAAAGCTTGTCTGTCTGTGCAGTTTCAATAAATGCATCCGCTCTTAGGTCATGATTTGCCATCATTGCGTTTAGGAAATGCCTATAGGGTTCAATCAACCCTAGAGGAAAGTGCTCTTGGCACATCATGGCACATCATGCTCCTGAAGACATCATACAGCAATCAACAGAACCTTGTCTTGCATATTTGAATCCGAAACTCCAAAGGCCTGCTGCACCAACAAACTATATAACCATTGAGTTTAATGTGGTACAGGTCATCTGCAGATACTGTAATTTGCAAGCCCTATTTTTTTTATTTTCTATTATTGGAATCCTAATAGTTGATGATAATAGCCACATTATACAAATATAACAGGCCTGCAGTGGTACAGTTGTTGTGGATGTCAATATCTGAGCATATCTAGTACCCACAGGTTTATACAGCATGTTAGACTTACAATTCCACAGCAGCTGCAATGGTAAAGATGCATAAATATGCTCAAAACCATTCATCATAAAGTGCAATGTGTTCATTTCAGTGTGCATATGTATACCCACCCTTCATTATTGTGTACATTAAAGGTGTTTAGATACTCAGCATCATTATACTGTGCAGCGTGTTAACTGAAGTGATTTAACTCCATATCCTGCTCACCATGAGCGAGCCTGACTTTACAATGCAATGTCTTCACATTCTTAGCATATTAGCATTATACTGCACTTCATGGGTCAGTATACAGATACTCAGAATCACTATACAATATAATATACATAATCATTAGTAATGTATAAGTCAAAGGGTTGGTTATTATAGGCGACTTTTCCATTTGTTTTTCACTACTTGGGATCTCATTGCTTGGAGCCCCTGTGTCATGGACACTAGACTGAGTGTTGGAATGCTGTTAGATCTTGCTGTTCTCTAGATGGGAGTCAATATGTTTTATTAGGACGTCGTCTGGGTATCCGACAGGAAAGGCCAGTTGGCAGAGAGGGCAACTCCTTACCTCCGAGTCCACTGTCTCCATCAGTAACTAGAAGGACACAAAAAGGAATAGTGAAAGACTATACATTGTTATGATACAAAGGTTCCCCTATCTTGGCCACTCATGACCCTCATTCCGATATTACAAGTGGTGGAGAGTCGTAGCAAGTGCACAAATAAAAATGTTACATATAATACCCTTATAACTCAGGCATTCTCTGCTTAGATTCACCTCTATAAGAATCACCTAAATAATCATGTTAGACAGGCAGTATCTGCAAATAAAAAAGGGAGAGGAAAGTCACAAGAGCCTCATGAGGTGATATTTGGAGTCAACATGTTTGGCAATCTTTAGACTGTTAGAGGTAATAACTGCCAAATGAATAAGAAATGCATGCTCATACATTCCTGACATGCTAATGTTCCATTTTAACACTCAGTCCACCCAAAAATAATATTTTAGTTATAGAGCATGGTGGGCTGAATCAGCTCCTTCTATGGCTTAAGCAAATAATTCTCCCTGCCATGATTTCACCTGTCTGTCTTCCAACTACTCCTGTTGCATTATCAATAGTATGAAACAAATTATAAATGTAAACCAGAAGCCTGGAAACCCCTAATAATGGACCAATCAGGTGTGCAGATCTGAGCAGAGATCTCACCAGTAAAGTTTCTGAGCTATATATAAGAAACAATCAGCTGATTTAAAAGAAAAGCACACAAATTATATGAACCTCCCAGGACTCCTTCATAGTCATGCAAACTACACTAAGCTAAACCACCACCAGGCCCAGACACCGTCACATGAGAAGGACAGAAAAAGTGGGTCAGTTGTGGGTTTAAAAGACACGGATTGGGCAGTGAAATTTTTAAAGGAGTAAGAAATAATGTCACGGGACAGAATAAAATACAGTACACATTACCTTCTAAAATGTTCAAAAGTCATCTGATTTGTTATTTTGCCCCTGCCCCTCCCCTGAACTGTCTGGTTTGTTTTCTTCTTATATACTTACATTGATGGAGGGCCAAGACTGTGCATGTTCCGCACGGGAGTAGGATGCTGACATTCTTCTGCTTGCTGCATCAGGTATGGGGAACCCAGCACAAAAGGAAGCACAACGTACTGCTCCAGGCTCTGGACTGGGTGGGGATGGAGGACTCCACTCGTCCTCATCAGAGGATTGCTGTGGGGGCTCATGAAAGCAGGGTATAGTGGGTGGGCTTCCTGCATATCCCTCATTGTAAGATCGCTGTTTCGGTAAAGTAGCTGTCCCTGCAGGCATCCATAGGGAACGTGGTGTTCGTGGATACAGAGCAGGCTCACTAATTTCAGAATAGCTACGGCGTGCTTGGAAAAATGCTTTAGCTTGATGAGCTGGAGGTTTTGGATAAGGTACATCAGTGCCCAGAGGGGACGGACATGGTGAAGGTACAGGTGATCTACGTGAGGGTGAGGAAGGTGGCACCGGGGAACGCCGTTGATGTGCTGGAGATTGTGGGACAGGGGATCTTCTCTGTAAGATGGGAGATGGGCATTGTGGAACAGGGGAGCGGCGCTGTGAGGATGGTGAATGGCGGAGAGACGAAGGAGAGTGACGGAGCTGGCAGGGAGAGTGGCGATGTGGAGGAGAATGCCTCTGTCCTGGTAAAAAAGAAAACACTTGTTAAAATGTGAAACCTTTTATATGACTTCCTGCCCTATTCATAGTCAAAACAAATCAAATATTTTGAGGTCAGTTAAAATTCTTAAGCTAGCCATACACATGGAAATTTGCCATGCAATCTAAAACATTAAATGGTTTAAAAATCGATTGCAAGGAGATGAGAGGGGATATTGCTTTCAAAGCCATTGTCATAGCTCTGCCCGCCTATAAGGTAGAGAATTTATAAGCACTGCACTATCAAAGCCACAAAAGGACAGTTTATGGTTCCTTTACACCCATGCATATGCAGTAACGTGCATTTTAAATGAATTATTTTATGTATTTATGTAAGTTTTATGTGCGTTTTTTGTCTATGTATTATGCAAGATAAAAAAAAAAAAAATGTTTAAAAGGCGCTAAGCTGCAGAGCACAGGAAAACAGACAAGTGTGCAAAGGCCCTCAGAGGTCCTGCATGTAGCACACATTTTGTCAAGGATTTTATGCCATGATGGGACAATCTACTGATCCTGTTGCCACATAAGCTACTGGTCAAACGTTTTAGAAAAACTAAATCATGAAATGACTTTGTTACTAAATTTATATAACTTGACTTATATAACTGTTTCCCAAAATAGCCACCTTTTCGAGACATTCTTTCTACAATAGAACTCAAATATTGTTCAGTAACTTCTTTGCAGAAGTTCCCAAAAATGATTTGCACTTGTAGGTTGCTTTGCTTTCGCCCTTCTGTCCAGTTCACCCAAAACCTGTTTCATGGGGTTTAAGTCTGAAGACTGTACTAGCTATACTGGTCCATATGGTCCTATACTATCCATCTGTTTTTTTTTTCTTTCTATGCTTTGGGTATTTACCTTGCTGTAAGATGAATCCATGACCAACTAGGAATAAACTAGAGGGTATTGCATGGTGCTGCAAAACACACTGTAGTACACCTTATGATTCAGAGTGCCAATCACTCTGTGCAGGTCAACAGCTCTGGATCCAGCAAGACCCCAGCTCAATGCACAAAACTTACCGTATATGCCGGCGTATAAGACGGGTTTTTAGACCCAAAAACACTGCCCGAAAAGCGGGGTCGTCTTATACGCCAGGTATACTGTATGTAGCTTCGGCTACATACAGTATACCACGCTGAGCCAATCACAGAAAAATATTAATGAATACAAAGCCTGCCGTGATTGGCTAAGCGCTGAGCCAATCACGGCAGGCTTTGTATTAATGAATACAAAGCCTGTATTAATGAATGCAAAGCCTGCCGTGATTGGCTCAGCGCAGTATACTGTATGTAGCTTAAGGACCGAACCCGGAAGATGGAGGACGCTGCGGGGGTACTGAAAATTAACCCCGAGCCACACTCGGGAATACTGCCATGGAGGTTAGTAAGTGCATTTAAACATTATTTTGGGCTATACTCGTCTTATACGACGAGTATAGCCCAAACCCTATACTTTAACACAAAAAGTAGGGGGTCGTCTTATACGCCGAGTCGTCTTATACGCCGGCAAATGCGGTAAATGTATGCTGAATTTTTTGCAGCTCATTGCTTTGTGGCCTTGTAGCACCAGAATGCACCAACGTGCTGGTGCAAACAAGCACTTGCTGTCACTCAACCTGCCAAACTAGCAGCTCGCAGCCTTCACTTCGCAGTTAAAGTGACACTAAACTCAGGAGTTCAATCTTAAAAATGCATTCAACTTAACTAGTAACAAAACCTTACCTTTGTGCATCCCTTGGCTGTAGATCCTCAAATCATCTCTGAATTCTTGCTTACACTGTCCTTCCCTCTGGAAGGTGGCTACCTTTGTTCCCCATGGTCCCTGTGTGTGCTGTAAAGTAGCCACCGCTCCAAGCTCGGTCCCATGATGGACTAGAGTTTCAATATACAAATTGGTAAACTAAATGTGAGATTGTAGCCCATCATGGGAGCAAGTTTGGAGCAGTGGCTACTTAACAGCCCATACAAGGACCATGGGGAACAAAAAGGTAGCCACACACAGTGTCAGCAAGAATTCAAAAATGATTTGAGGATCTACAGCTCAAATAACCTATATGAAATACATAATAAAACAAAAAAAAATTGTGAATCCTTTGGCAGGTAAGAGTCCACATACATGTATTTGAACTTCTTAATGTGTCTAGAGTTCGGCTTTAAGCATATGCACCCAAGTATTGATCATGTGCAGGATACAACATATACACATACTCAAAAGTTTGCATACCCTTGGAGAATTGATAATGTACATACCATTTATAAAGAAAACATGAGTGACCAGGCAAAACACATTTATTTAATTTTTTATGGGATTCCTATTCACCTATAGGTCATAACAGAATGCACAATCTTAGAGTAAAACATGGCAAAAAAATAAAATGACCCCTGTTCAAAAGTCTGCATATCCTTAGTTCTTAATACTGTGCAGCGCTTATGGTTGTGACCATAAAGCGCTATTTTGGTCTGGTCACTCCAAATTACAGTGTACCAGAAGCTGTGAGGGGTGTCAAGGTATTGTTGGGCATATTGTAGCCGGGCTTTTTTGTGGCATTGGCCCAGTAGAGGCTTCTTTCTGGCAACTCCACCATGCAGCTTATTTTTCTTCAAGTTGTGTATTGTGCTCCTTGAAACAATCACATCATCTTTTTCCACAGCAGCCTGTATTTCTCAGGAGGTTACCTGTGGGTTTTTCTTTATATCCCGAACAATTCATCTGGCAGTTGTGGCTGCAATCTTGCTTGGTCTACCTGACCTTGGCTTGGTATCAAGAGATCACTGAATTATCCACTTCTTAATAAGTGATTGAACAGTACTGACTGGCATTTTCAAGGCTTTGGATATCTTTTTATACCCTTTTCCATCTTTATAAAGTTCCATTACCTTGTTACGCAGGTCTTTGGACAGTTCTTTTCTGCTCCCCATGGCTCAGTACATCCTCCTGACAGCTAACAAACTCATTGACTATTTATACACAGATACTAATTGCAATTTAAAAAGCCACAGATGTGGGAAATTAACCTTTTAATTACAATTTTCACCTGTGTGTGTCACCTTGTTTTTCTGTAACAAGACCATACATTCCAGGGTATGTAAACTTTTGATCAGGGCCATTTCTGTTATTATGATTTAAAAAGGAGCCAAACAGCTATATGGTAATATATGGCTTCATATGCTTAAAAAAGTTTAAAAATGGCACTATGCTTAAAAAAGTTTTGGCATGATCAGTCATATTTTCAATATCAATGCCAAAATTTCACGATTTCTGCCAAGGTATGCAAATTTTTGAACACAACTGTATAAAGCCAACACTTTTTTTTTCAGTTTTAGACAAAATAGCAAAGGGTAATATCAATTTTTTCACCATCTGTGCCTCATTGGTGAGATTTCTATTTACTTCCTGTAAAGTAGATACAACTGGTAGCAGCAGAAGGTTTCTCAAAAGTGAGGTAAATTCTCACTAAGAAAGTGGTTACTGCAACAAGCATTCCCACTCAAAGATGTCTTCTCTAGTCTTGTGTTGGTGACCACTGAAAATGGTTTTTTAATACTCTTTAGTCCTTGTGATAACGGTCACTATAACAAATAAAGGGTGATTTGCCCCAACAGTAAAAAAAAAAAACCTGGCAGTTGCTCTAACTTTTTCTCTATTCTATCCAAAACGGATACATACTTTAACACTGTAGGCGATAAGGAGTTGGCTTTGGGTTTAAACACAGCAGGGGGAATTTATCAAAGCTGGAGCAGACAAAATCTGGAGCAGATTTGCACTGCAACCAATCAGCTTACTGTCTCGTTTTCAAATCTTACCTGAGCAAAATAAAGAGATGCTGATTGGTTGCCATGGGCAACTGCTCCAGATTCAGCCTGCTCCAGTTTTGGTAAATTCCCTGCAGCTTATTTAAATCCCTTATTGGTTTTATGCTCATTGTTCTTATTTTCTATTGTAGGTTAGCATTGCTATATTATCACCTGCTTGCTCCTCCAGCAGTGATCTCAGAATCCGGCCTTGTAAAGCAGTAAGATCTCTCAGACGGTAAAGTTCCTCAGTCAGTTCAGTGTACGCAAGGGCCAGATTCACCCTGGGAACATAAAAATACTACATTATCACACAGTCAGAGAATATAGCCTAAGAACCTCATTACCACAGACGTTATTTCCATTCATCAATTTATTCACAGCCATTCCCCAAGAATCATTGCATAACTGTGCAACTGTATTACACTGTCTCACAGGAAGTAGAATCTTTGTTTTATTAGACAGGATTTATATAGCGCAGCACTTTACAATATAAAGAAGACATTACAATCACAATACAATTCAAGACAAGATAGTAAGGAGGGCCTACAATCTAAAAGTGAGGGGCAAGTAATACATGAGGAGGTAGCTGTGTGGGGATAAAGTGTTTAAGAACGTGATGGTTGAGTGGTTAGTCTGAGGTGGGATAGGCTTCCCTGAAGAGATGGGTCTTTGATGAGTGGGTGCCAGAGAGAAGCTTTGCAACCTCCTCTGTGGTGACAGGGTCAAAAGAGGACAGTAACAAGTGTGGTGGTGGATCTGGTACATTAATAGGGAAAGATGACTGGACAGTGGTTATCTGATCCCGAATTGTATCTATTGTTTTCTAAATGAATGGCAATGGCCTGGGCAGTGAGTGAGTTAGTGGGTGATGGCAGAGATAGTAGAGAGTTAAAAGTAGAAAAAAGTTGACATGGTCTGGATGAGAGTGTGTTAATGAGAGTGACAAAATAAGTCTGTTTGGCAGCATGGAGGAAGGAATTATATTTTAGGAGGGCAGCTTTACACAGGGTGAAGTTTTGCAGAAGCCTAGTTTTCCGCCACAGTCGTTCAAGAGCACGGCTATGTCTTTTTAGACGTCTGGTTTCTTTAGTTTGTAGTGGACGTGGTCTAAGTCTGCGGGTAGTGAGGGACACCAAAGTGTCTAGGGAGGATGAGAGCAAGCTGTTGTAGACAGAAGTAGCCAGGTCAGGGGTGAGATTTTGTCATAGAGGTAGTCAGTAGCAGAGTAGAGAAGGTCGAGGTGGTGAAGGTTTTTCCGGGTGACAGTGTGCCATGTTGGGGGAATTAGGGTTGAGGACAGGGGGGGTGAAACTGACAAGGTTGTGGTCTGAGAGGGGAAAAGGGGTGTTGGATAGGTTGCAAGGAGAGCATAGGTGAGAGAAAACAAGATCTAGTATGTTACCATCAGAGTGAGTAAATGAAAGCAGTGCGAACCCCCCACTACAACCCAGTGCTTTGCTAGGGTGAATGACATAATGTTAACGGGAACATTAAGGCAACAAAAGACAAATCAGAGGAATTCAAGAAAATGTGGTTCTATTGGCTGCAATCTAGATTCTCCCCTGAATATACAATAGCTTCCTGAGATACTTGGCCATACTGCATTACTTCCAATTTATCTTTCTCCCAAAATGTTAGACTCTTGAGACAATTACCTGGCACTGTATTCATACGTGTGGATTTCCCATTCTCAGGAGGGCCTCCCATTTTGTTAAGAGCTGCTGGCCCTGAGCCATTAGGCCCAAATATTGCTCCTATTACACTAGAGAAAGTTCATGGTTTGGCACCTCCATACCAATTCACCTTTAAATGTTTATTGCTGTCTCTTACAATAACTGGTGTGCTGGCCAATTATTGCGAGAGCTTCCAAGGTCCCCAACCCAGAAACATGGTAGCAACCACAACACGCGCACCCTAATATGCAAGTTGCCACCGCTCACAAATTATAGACATGTAGGAAACCTTTCAAATGAAACTTCTAGTCAATACACTCTGCTCTCCAGCAGACTGGCACACAGGTTTTTACAACCACACACACTGCTCTCACTACCAGTTACAGTTTAACCAGGCCAGACAATATTACTTCTAGAGAAGGTACAAATACCCACTTACAGTATCTTACTGTCAGCCACCAAAAGACGGAGGCTCAATCAAGATCTAGCTGGCTAAACACACACAGGCACATCCAAATCTCACATACAATCGGGTGCACTCTAATGGTTGTGTGGAAGCTAGTTGATAGCCACATGCTCCTGAGATTTCCCAAGCTATCCTATGAGCTGGAATCCTTATGTCATCACCTTTTCCACTGCCCACACACATACATCACACAGATCCCTCTCTGGCAGTGAGATCTAAAATAATCCGAGATTGCAGCACCACAATGAAACTATTCCGTCCAGATACAGATTTATTCTAAATCGAAGTTTGAGACAAAGCCAACACGTTTCAGGGGTCAGAGGAAGCCCCCTTCACCAGCGCTTGTAGGGAGGTAATAACTACTGGACTGAAAGTAAACATGAATACACACCGTGCATTTTTTGACCTGGCGTTAGTTAGAACATTGAATCTGTCAGCAGTTTAACCTAACTAACCCTGTCTGTACTGTGCTGGCAGATCTCAAAACCAGTTGTAAATTACAAGTACAATCAATGAAATATGTTTAGGTATGGATGTGATCCGCATTTCTGGGAGCCATCTCTTATCCGGGGCTGGGATTTTTTGGGCCAGTCCCCTTATTATATCTCTTGGGGATGGTCAGCACCTGAGCATCGCCTCATCTCTGGCTGATCGGGGAGAGGCGATGCTTGTGCTGGTGCCCTCAGGCTCTATGCCGTTTCATCGCAAGTGGCAGAGGGAGGGAAGCTGCCTTTGTGGATGCGAGATTGGGCGGTGCGGTTAGCACTTCGGCGCCGTCCCACTATATGGTGGTATCTGGGGGGGAGGGGCCCCGTGACTGGATGGTAAACCTCAATATCAGATGCGCTATATAGGGCACATGTGCGGGCCTATGGCACGCTCTGGCCACACACGTCACACGCCGACAAGTGTGGCAGGAGTTCAGTGAGACAAGGGGAGAGACGGACGGTCGGATTGGGGAGGCTGGACATACGTGGAGCGAATCAATTTCTTGAAAAAGGTTTAATATTTGTTATTACCATATCCAAGTATAGTTTTCGTTAATTGGACATTGGGAGTAATTCCAAAATGAATTTCCTAGTTATTTTTGATTAATGTGTAAAACTATATACCCATAATGATCACTGTGAGGCTGGGTTCACACCTAGGCGTATTGAATATGCGTGTTTGTCGCGCGTTTCCGACAAACGCGCGTTTCCGAGGGCTACTTGGCTGTATCCCAATGGAAACGCGAGACCAAAACGCCCCAAAGAAGTATATGTACCTTTTCAGGCGTAGGCTGTTTTGTAGCGCGTTCAGATGGGCTGAAATACAGAAAGGTGTGAACCATACCCATAGAAAACAATTGGATTTTCAAGTTTGTACGTTTTGTAGAGCGTTCATAGAGCGTTGAACGCGCGACAAAACGTAAAGGTGTGAACAGGGCCTGAGAGATACATCTGGATATCTTTGTATTCATTAGGATGTAGTTGGATATTTGAGATGGTAATGATACTAGAGATTTCTGCTTTTGGATACATTTGAGATGTTGAGAAGTCTTGATGATATAGATATGGATGGAATGTTTTGAGGTTTTCCCCTGATCTATGGGTATGACTCCACTCTTATATTTTTTTTGTGTGGGAACTATTGATTTGGACTACTACATATTTAATAAATAACTGATATTTGGTAGCAATATGGACAATATTATAACTATTATAGGAACTCCAGGATAGGCATGCTGTCTCCTCTGTTCTGCCGCCTAAATGCTCTCTCCATCCTCTCTCTTTCCTGGTTGATTAGAGTTTTTCCAGAGGTGCGGACTCATCTACCACTAAAATTTCAGCAGATGGTATGTATGTAGTTGGGTTATATATGGTAAATGTAGACTTCTGAAAATGTTGAATTAGAATTATTCTTTTTTCATTATCATATCCATATGATTCTTGTTCATTATCATATCCATATAAATACTTTAGGCTACCTCCAAAAAAAACTTCCTGATGAAGCTTCGGCGAAATGCGTAGAAGGCTGGAATGAGTGCAGAATCACAGATGACTTAATGATTAATATGACTTTTTTTTTTTTAAATTGTTTGAAGACATTGCTCTATGAAATGTATTATATAAATTATGGATTATTAAGAATATGCATGCTATGTATCTGCACAGAGTCCAGTGAGGTGTTATGTTTCAATTTCTCTATCTCTGTAATTTTTAAGATTGAATGGATATGTTTTTATCTGTATTTTGACTATGGAATACATTTTTCTTTTTTTTTACAATAATGAATAACCACTATATTGTGATATGTTTAACTATGTTCCCTCACATTCCCTAAGAAACACTCTAAAAGCACCATTGAATTTTTTGTTGGTATACCAGTTGTAAACTAGATTTGAACACTGTGTGTCCTAACAAAGGGCTAAAGATCTAGAAGCATTTAGGTGAATTGTTCAAAACAGAGTCTAGTTATAAATTGTGCGGTTGCCATGTATTTTAGCTTGTCTGTATTTGGTGTGGGGATGCACTGGGGGCCCCAGCGTGCATTCTGGATTGCTAGGCCTCCAGTGTGCCCCTGTGCCTTTAATGAGGAGTGGGCTCCCTCCAGGCACACCTGCATTCAATTTTTCTACTGCTCAAATATGCTCCAATATGGAGACTCACAAAAATTAGAACTAGGACCACACTACACAGATGAGCCTTAACAAGGCAGTGAGGCTTCCACATATTTTGCATTAGTTGTGCAACTAAAACCTCTGTTTTTAATGCATACTGTTAGACAGGGCAATTTGTTTTGTTGCAGGCTAACCAGTAAGTGTGCTGGGAAACATCTGTGTTTTGTATTGTTCAAAATTGAAGCTGTTGAAATCTAGAGCAGCTGTGCATGGCAACCAATAAGCTTCTATCTTTCATTTTCAAAGCTTAAATGAAAACACTCGAGAAGCTGATTCGTTATTCTGGACAACAGCTCAAGATTATGTCTGCTCCAGCTTTGATTAATGCCCCCTACTGTATTTTAATGAGAGGAAGCTGAGGGTGTCTCTAGTCTTCTATGGGGGAAGCCAGAGTTTCCTGTCACTTTAAAATTGTAGAGCGAAGTTTGCAGTATGCCCAAAGGCCAGCTACACAGAATACCGCTGTGTAAATAGGAACGCAAA